AAAAAAAAAAAAAAAAAAAAAAAAAAAGATTATGGTAACCAAAAATATCTATATTCTTTTTAGGTGGTCTTTGAAAAACAAAAGCAAATCTATCTGCAAACACATCTAGGTGGGGCAAGAGTGTGTGAAAATGGGACATTAATTAAGATTGATTGATGGAAAAAGTGATGTAAAAAGTAGAAAGACAAAATCCCTTCCACAATTTTGATGAAAGTTCTTTCAATTTGTCTTTTATCACTCAGCTTAATAAGAAATAAAATTGAAAATAAATTAAATAATTTACATTGTCCTACTATTTACATTTTACTAACTCCATATGTGTAGAGGTGTAAGGGATTTTTAGAAGAGAACAAGGTTGAGACTTTTCAACCTGAATTTGGATAAAAGATGAATCTTCAAAAGTATTGATAATTTTGGAAAATAATTTTTAAGAAAACCATGGCAGCCAGTGATTATCTAGTTAGGCAATTTATTGCCAGGGATTGTGAAGCTTTACTATAAAAACTATAGGATGAACAATGGCTCCTTGATGCTGAGATTTTGTTCGTCTTCTTTTTTAATAGGTGAACATTATACCACTGATTGCCAAAGCAGACACAATTTCTAAAAATGATTTACAGACGTTTAAGAGTAAGATAATGAGTGAATTGATTAGCAATGGCATCCAGATATATCAGCTCCCAGCAGATGAAGAAACTGCTGCTCAGGCAAACTCTTCAATTAATGTAAGTTTCAGTAACAATATCTGATAAAGAGGCTATAAATGAGTGTTTATCCAGAATCCAGTGTGAGAAGTTTGAAATTTTTTTTATTTTGAAAAGCTTCTGCTGAGAATTGATTCTTTGTAAGCAGATTTATTTAGATTTAATTCAAACACCGTGTTCTTCAAGGATACTGGCCTATAATTTTCTTCTTGGAAGTTTATTTTCTTGCTTTGATATCAAGGGGAGGCTGCCTCATAAAATGACTCTGAAGGTGTTACCTCTTGTTTCTATTTTTTCAAAGAATTTGAGGATGTTTTATATTAAAATTTCTTTGAAAGTTTGGTAGAATTTACTCATGAAGTAATCTGGTCCTAGGCTATATTTTGGAGTTTTGAAAAATTACTTCTTTAGTTTCTCTATTTGTTATTGGTCTCTTTAAGCTCTCTATTTATTCTCCATTCAGTCTTGGTAGGTTATATGTTTCTAGTCATTTCACCATTTCTTCCAAGTTGTCAAATTGGTTGCTGTACAATTGTTCATAATAGTCCCTTATAATTCTGTTTATTTCTGTAAGAAATAAACCTTTGTAATAAGTTGTAATGTCTTCTTTTTCATTTCTTATTTTATTAACATAGTCTTTCTTTTTGTTCTTAGTCTAGGTAAGGGCTTTGATTTTGATTTTTGTTTTCCCCAAATCAACTCTTAGCTTCATTGATTACTTTTTTTTTTGTTGTTTTCTTTTTTGAGACAGAGTCTCACTCTGTTGCCCAGGCTGGAGTGCAGTGGCACAATCTCAACTCACTGTAACCTCCATCTCCTGGGTTCAAGTGATTCTCCTGCCTCAGCCTCCTGAGTAGCTGGATTTACAGGAGCGTGCCACCACGACTGGCTAATTTTTATGTTTTTAGTACAGACAGGGTTTCACCATGTTGGCCAGGCTGGTCTGCAATTCCTGGCCTCAGGAGATCTGCTGAGATTACAGGTGTGAGCCACCGTGCCTGGCCGATTAAAATTTTTTTTTATTCTCTATTTCATTTATTTATGCTCTAATCTTTGTTATTTCTTTCCTTCTGCTAATTTTTTTTTTTTTTTTTTTT